CAATAGCATTAAAGAAAGAAACTATAATCGAAAAGAAAGAAAGAAAGAAAAAGAAGAAGCAATTACCAACAAAATTAAACTAAATTTGAATTGGGAACAAATCAGCACAAATCAACAAAATTACAAGTGCATTAGGTATTGACTAACCTTCTTCTCTCAGTAAAACCAAAGGCTACTCTCAAGTATTGTCTTTAATAGGATCCTCAACAGATTTGAAAATTAATAGCAGGAAGCCAAGAATCCAAAGTTAACCACCAACCAAAGATTCTAAACTTGTCCAGAAAAATGACAAAAAAATTGAAATTTACTCTATGATATTTTGAAAAACAAAAATTACAAATTAGGGATGAAAGGAATCTCCAATTTTTTTATAATAAGGAATAACAAAGTGATGCAAGAGTATAGAGCTCTTTTTAATGATTAGTTTTACGGCTGTTTGTTTTGCATTAAGTTTGAGTTTTATTTGAAATCTGAGTTTTAATTTTAGGGAAGTCATTTTTAATTAGGATTAGAATTAGTAGCTTATTAGGAGTTCATAGTTTATTAGAAATTCAAATTAGAATTGAATTAGGATTCTTGGCTATTGTTAGGATATATAGTTATTCTTCTTATATTTCAAGAATAGTTTTTGTTATGAGATTTTAGTTTGAGAATAAACTTGAGGTTGAAAACCTAAGTTTTCTTAGGTCCATCTAATGAAACGGATTTGTTAATTAAAATGTTGGTAGGCCATTATCTTATGCATTTCAAATCATTTATGCAACAACAAATAGTAAATGACTACAATTTGTTTTCTAGCTATAATAAGGGTAGTGTCAAAATGCATTTCCAATGCAGAAAAAAATAAAGAAAAGGAAAAAGAGAAAAGAAAAGTTGATCTCTCATTTTTTGATAACACATTGAGACACATCCAAGTTTAAATGTTTATCTCAGACTTCTCCATGTCTTCTGATAGTCTCATGATTAACTAAAATGAGGTTTTGTAGATTTAGATTTAATTAACCTTTTGCAGGTATCCCATTTTTAGAGCAATAATCAAGATATCGATTACACAATTAGGGCTTCAACCCCAACTCTAGCATTTTTCTATATTCCAATCCAAGAAGTAGCGTAGCTATCTTACCAAAAAATAGTAGGCAAATTTCAAGAGGCTGTGGCCTACTCGTCAGTGAACTCAGGAGTCTTATAGACCTTTGTCTCTATGGGAGATGTGAAGGTTGTGTTCATAGGTCACAACCACAAGAATGACTTTTGTGGGAATCTAGAAGGTATATGGTTTTGCTATGGTGGTGGCTTTGGATACCATGCATATGGAAGGGCTGGCTGGCCAAGGAGAGCAAGGGTCATATTAGCCGAACTTTAGAAGGGCGATAAAGCTTGGATGGGAGTGGAGAGGATTAAGACTTGGAAACGTCTTGATGATGAAATGCTAAGCAAGATTGATGAGCAAGTCCTATGGGAAGTGCTACCACCAAGATGATAGCTAGAAGGACTAAGGTACCTTATCTTGAATCCTATTACTTTATATATGGATAGATTTGCTTTGTTTTGTTATTACTAGCATTGCTAACACTAACACTTAATACTTCTTATTTCTTTGCTTGTTGCCCCAAAAATGGTCATGAACAACAAAGAAGGAAACAAAAAAACCAGAACATTGAAACCATGTCAAGGCATCCTACCTTCCTAACTAATTAGCCATCATGAAGTCAACTTGAATGTTAGGGCCTCCAATCCCAAACTAGACTAATGTGGAATAGAACCACAACTTGATGGAAGATTAATAAGAGTAGAGAACATCATTAGCCTAAATCATAAAATTTTGTCAAATTTACAATAGTAATTTATTCTAGAGAACATTTAATTCCATGACAGCATCATTATCCTCTAGTTGGAGACTTGGAGTACTACTCAAGTACCATAAATATCATGTATTATTTGGCTTCATCCTTCTTAAATCTGATTTCATCATCACCAAGTAGTGTACATCTGTTAACCAGTGTAAGTCCATGCCAACCATTTTAATAACAACTTGACAATTACAAAATTAGTGTAACAAGTGCACTATAGAAAGTATATATAAGTTTAATCCTAATTCTGAATAGAACAATCATTCACACTTAAGCCAGGATGCAACATACCAGCAAAAGCAAGCAAATCAATAATTAGGAAGCTTGACATTATCTTTCAACTGTTTCTGAGCAATCAAACAAAACACTTAAACAATTTCAACACAAGTCATTTTGGACTATAGACATTTCAAATTCAATCTAAATATTTCTTTCCCCCATATGTAACTTTGAGACTTGAAAATCAAGCAGAATCCTCACTTTTTCTCAGAAACCAAACAATTGAAAAACAAAAATGAAACCAATAATAGCAAAAATGAAACCAGTAATAGCAAAAATGAAACCAGTAATAGCAAAGGTGAGCATGCATAACCTAATGGATTATATAGAAACAGAGAGAGAGAGAGGCAGTGGTACCATGGTTGACGGAGAGGAGAGAGCAAGCGAGGCTGTGGTCGGCTGCAAGAAACCCTCTATCATTGATGGATTAGAGTGGAGAAAACAAATTTTGTAGCTGGATCCGAATGGGTTTTTGAGTTTTAGCAAAATCAATTACAAATTTTGGAGATTTGTAGGGAGGGAAGCTTAGAAATTAGGGAGGGAAAATGGGGAATCTGTGGAGGGGAGTATGAGTTTTAGCAAAAATGAAGCTCAAAAATTAAAGAGTTGATGCTTGTCAACATTACTTGGGTCTACCAGGGAGGGAAGCTCGGAAATTAGGGAAGGAAATTGGGAAATCTATGGTGGGAAGTAAAAATAAAGCAAGCTAAAATTAAAAAAGAAAAATAAAGTGTTTAAGAAATAGGGAATTATACAAACACTATTTGTCGTTGGAATAGATACACTATATATAGATGGATAATTACTAAACCATTTGTATAAACCAAACATATACTAATGGATATATTTTTCCGTTGGTATAGACCTGTGTATACTAACGGCTTAAGTTTTCCATTGGTATATATGATTTATACAAATAGATTTTCTGTCCATTAGTATAGACTTACGTTAGTATAGGGCATTTTGCTTATAGTGGCCTCCATACATGCAAGCCCGGTATCAACTTCAGGTCCTATCAAGTGGGCTAATAATGGGTTTTGCAAGACAAAACCTGAGCTCTAATACCATGTGAAGATTGTGTATTATGTATGTGAGCTTAACACAAGGTTTGCATCCAACCTAAAACTAATTGATAATAGGTGGAGTAGCATTCTTTATTAACTCACAAGACCCAACATTCATAACGGGCATGTATGTGAGGGGGCATGTTGAGTGGGAAAATCCCACATCGAGTATAGAAGTAAGAAACTTGTGTGTTAAATACAAAGAAGGCTAGTCCACTTATTGCCAATTGGTTTTAGGTTGGATGCAAGCCTTGTATTAAACCCACATGCATAATTTTCACATGGTATCAAAGGTCAAGTTCTGCCCTGCCCTGGGAAGCTCATTGTTAGCCCACCTGACAGGACTTGAAGTTGATACCAGGCTTGCATGTAAAGGGGTGTGTTAAGCCACATGATAGGACCCGACATGCATAGCGAGAGGACTCCACATTCATAGCAAGCCTGTACATGAGGGGGCATGTTGAGTGAGAAAATCCCACATCGAATATAAAAGTAAGAAACTTAGGAGTTAAATACAAGGAAAGCTACTCTATTTATTGTCAATGTCAATTGGTTTTAAGTTGAATGCAAGTCTTGTATTAAGTCCACATGCACAATCTTCACAATCATTGTAGTCTGTTAGCTAATAACTAAGCTATAATTTTGCACATGGCCCCAATAAATGAGATGGGTCTAAAGTCCTCAATTTTCTATGGATTAGCCACCTTTGGTATGAGAACAACAAAAGAGGCGTTCGATCCTCGAACCAACTTTCCATTTTTGTGAAATTCCAAAAGCGAAGCCAAGCCCATTATTCTAAATAGTCTCCCGCATTTCCCTTATAAATTCAAAATTAAATCCATCTGGTACAGACGCCTTTGAACATCCACAGTCCTATGCTACTCTCTTTGCCTCCTCTTTGCTAAATGGAGCAACTAACAAACTGTTCCCCAATCGAGAGATTCGTTTGAATTGTATGCCATCTAGGACAGGTCTCGTCCAACCTTCCTCCTTAAAAAGATCTTTCAAAATAGTTTGCAACAGAATCCTGGAGATCCTTTTACCTCCACCAATTGCATCCCTTTTATTTGTAAGCTGTTGATCTCGTTTTTCCTCCTTATGCCATTTACACATTGGTGGAAAAACTTTGTTTTAGCAACCCCTTCTTGTAACCATGACTTTCTTCATTTCTGTGTCCACATCCCTTCTTTCATTTTGAGACTTTTCAAAAGCTTCAGAAAACTCTGCTTCTGAAGGCTTATTTCTGCTTCCGAGATATGCTGCCCTTCTCCTTTTAAATCTAGCTCCTCAATCTGAATTTTTACCTTTTCAATTTCCTCGTCCAGCTTGGATACCAAAATCCTCCTCTAGTCCTTTAAAAACGCCTTCATCTCCCTGAGCTTCTCTTTCATACCCTTTCCAGCCCCGCACTCGACTGGAACTCCAGACAACACGCATTTGCTCCTTTAATCCTAGTTGATTCAGCCAATCATCTAAGAACCTAAAAGGTTTAGGTCCCCAATCTAGTGATTGTGTTCTCAACAATATGGGGCAGTGATCGGAAATTGTTTGTTTTAACCCCCTGTCTAGGCGGCTCTTCTTTGTAACTTGAAAACGTGTTAAAAGTTAAAGAGTATTTCTTGTACTTTTAATACCAAGTAATATTTGATGTTTAAAATATCTAGACAAATTAAAAGAAAAAAAAAAAAAGAAAAGAAAAGCAAAACAACTTATTAATTACTAATTAGGATATTATATGTGTGCACACTTGGATCTAACACCGGGTGTACACACATCATATAAAAAAAAAAAATTGCCCATCACTCGATCCAAATTTTTGTTTTTATGTGGGGTGCACACCCGGGTGTTAGAACCGGGTGTGCACCAATCAAACATTCAGAACACCTGAAACTTAGACATTTGAGGATAGAGAAGCATATGAAAGGAAATCCTCGTCCGATTGAAACTTGGCCATGTCTACCTCCTTCAAGTTGATCCAAGCTTCTATTCCATCACCACTTCTGGTGTCAAAGAAACAAATCAAATTCTTAAAAACCCAACGAGTTGATCCAACCCACACAAGTTTTCCCCACCCGAAGTGAACTTCGTACATAGGGAACCTACACAAACTGGTAAAGTGTAAATGCACCACCTCACTATTCACAGAATCCACAGCCGGGTTTGTGAGCAAATACAAGCACTCATCTACCGTTCTTTGCACGAGCTTCTTCACCAACTCTGAGTTCACTTTCCTTGTTGCATCTCTAATCTGCTTCACAATGCCATGAAATCCACCTTCACTAGCTCTCCACGGCACCGTGAACGTTGACACATAGATGTTACCAAAATAGCGGTTTGACAGTGGCGGATCCATCTGAGAACGTAAGTTCACTGTTTGACCTATGGTGTAGATCTCGCTCACCCGATCAGTTTCTGTTTGCGTGGAAGCCATGAATCGGCTCCACATGAACGCCGATTAGGCCTCAACCCGAGTGGGCCGCATCCCATCTACGGTGTATTTCTCTTTTAGAGTTGCCAATACAGACGCATTGAACACAATCCTCTTCGTCATGATATTCTCCTTAACACTCTGAGCTCTAGGCTGAAACAAAGATGACTTTTTAAGAGGAAATAGGGCAGCAGAATTGAACTGAGGAGTTATTATCTCATCTTCACCACGCGCAATGGCGGCCCAACAGTTTATAAACATGATGCATGATATATAAGGCATCGCAAACCTTATGTGACATGCCAAGAGAGACTGCTAGGCCACCGCACTCGAAGAAAGTAAGTTGCACCATGGTTGGTAACTCAGCAGCAGTTGCATCATCGAGCTCAAGTGGAAAGAAGTAATTGTTAGCACTTGGATCTCGACAGTTCAAAATATCAGAAAGGCAGCAATTACCCTTCGCTTCAACAAAGTGGACACCTTAATCATTGCAGTCAATGTAGTCATTACCCTTGATCCGTCCTGCTAATGGGTAGAAATTGGTTAAAGCTTGGGATAATGATTTCTTCATCTTCTCACACTGTTCTACATTGCTGGTGCAGTTCTCTCTCGAGTAAAACATAACAAGAGGCATGAAAACTGGCGAGTTGAATTGATCAAGAAACGATAGTTGGTACCGGCGGAGGTGAACTGCGGTCGGAGAAGATGGACTGATGGCTTCCTTGGAGATAACTTCGATATCAATCTTCATGTCTTGAGGAAAGAAAATCGAAACAAGATGGATGGTTTGGCAAACAATTACCCGGGTTCAAATATAAATGGAAAGTACCATTGGGGGGATAATTATATATGAAACTCCATATAATAAAAATTGAATTAAAACCAATTATTTTTTTGGTAATTCAATTTTTTTCAGAATAAAAATTTGAATTTGAGTTTTATAAATAAAAAAATAAGTTGACTCCGGATTAATCAAATTTTAATGTAATTTTCAAAAACTAAAAGTTAAGAAGAAAAAATCAAATTAAAAATATGCAATTCACAAAAAAATTAAGCTTTTTTTTTTAAAATTTTAATTAGACTAGTGTTAGACTCCGTCGGAGGGTGCGGAATGGGGTGACCTGACACAATACAAAAAGGTATACTGTATTATACTTTAAATTATTTTAAATTATAAAATATTTTTTAAGGACAAAAATTTTTATTTAAATATCATATCATAATATTTAATATTATTTTATGTAAATTTATTTTTTATATGTTTAATTCTTATATAGAATTCTTAATAAAATATTTTTTT